TATATATACTTTGATTTCTTCCTGCCATTACCATGAGTGTGAAGTGTGAACTAATACTTTAAGGGCACATTTACAAATTTAGTCCTTCACCATTGATGATGAAGATAGACACCCTTCTAGTAAATTACTTATTATATTTTTATTAATTTTTTGTAACAAACTATCATATTTGCTAATTAGGTCATTAAAATATCATATTTTGTTAAATATGTCCATAAACTTATGTTATTCATGAAAATGCCCACTAGAAATTAAATCATAATATGAAATAACCAACTTTTAATTGAATTAAAAAAATGATCATCGAGTCCAAAAACAAGCATGTTTTGGACTTGTCACTTTTTTATTGGATTATGAGAAAACCATTTGACATAAAGTGATCTGAAATGTAACATTTTAGGTTGACATTTTACATATTTCGGATAGTCCATGATTTCAGAAAGATATGGCAGACTAAATTTTAAATACTTTTTCTTTATATGGCTTTAGGGTTTTTACTATTAATTTGAATCTCAATAGACCATTATGTTATTTTAAATGAGTTCATATAACCAGATTTTTAGAATTCATATTTGTAACAGAGAGTTGTAGTAATGAATCAATTAAGTTATGCAATATATGACATCAAATTACACATATTTTGGTGTGTATTTAACTAATGGTATTAAATTTTGCAGTTTGGTTAACTTGGTGGCTTCATCATTAAGCTTAACAAACAAAAAATCATATGTATCGTTTTCTTATGTAAAAATTATTAAACAACATACCTTACAATGTCCAAAATCCAAAATGAACGAGTCTGGAATAAGCATTTCAAAGTCTATAATACTGTTTTTTTATCTTCAATCTAACGACAAGGTAACAAAACTTATGAAAACAGAAGTAGATTTCGATAACGCCTCATAAACAAGTGACATTCTATAGAAACCATGATAACATTTGGTATACCTCAGTTGAAAGAGTTGAGAGAGAAGAACGGATTTTCTTTAAATATTTTTGATAGAAATGAGATAATTAGACTTTATATGACACCTTACAATTCAGAGTAAGAGATTATTTAAGTAAACAAATGAAATTAGTCATTTCTAATAGTATAATAAAAACATATGGACATGTTCTTGTGAAATAAGCCTAAACTTAAATGTGTACAATATCAAATCCTAGGGTTTCTCTTGTCGATTTTAAAAACTTAGAGTGTGTTTTTGCACAAACATGGGATGGATACAAAGAAAAAGGAAGGCAGTAATGGGCTTTCTGTGAGGACTTTATGGGTTAGCCGGGTCTTCTTAACTTTTATGGCCATTTTCCATTGAATTTTGCCTTCGGTCAAAAAGTCAAAGTCGGCTTATTGGTCGGTCATTTTTCCAACAATTACCATCCGAATATATGATGTTTTCAAATTGGGAAAGTTTCCATTAAATCGAAAAATAAGAATTGGATGACAATCAGAGACTTCCACATCTTAAGACTTAAAAGGTTAAAAAATTTCTTTAAATGAAGTTCAAATATCATATTTTTATATTATTCAATTACTTAAATTACATTAATAGAAGAAGGAAAAGGTAACTTAATTCAACTTCTTAGATCAAACGATTTGGTTGAGCATAAGATTGCAATCATAATTTAAAAAAGGAATAATGATAAAGGAAGGCAAGTGGTGTATAATATTTTATATGCACTTTTGGCACCTAAAAGGTTAATCCCCAACCAATTATGCAAGTCCTGTGGGCACATTTGTTTGTTGTATATTGGGAATTGAAGATGGATACTTTATTAGATCAAATACGTGTGTAAAAGATGGGCAAGCAATAAAATAGGAGAGATAGAGTCCAATAGTACAGGATGACAAATACGACCTTTTTGGGGTTATCTAACATTAACTTAAGAGTAAATTACAGTTTTGGTCTCTTGGTATTTACATTTCTACTCGTTTGGTTTTAGTTTTTAAAAAATCGATGCCAAAATCCTCACGATTTCTAAATCTATTCAATACATGTGTAAAAGATGGGCAAGCTATTAAACAGGAGATATAAAGTCTCGATATATAACATTGTTAAACTATGAGGTTGGGAATTAGAGTTACACCTGAAGAGCATTTGAAGTAGAGAAGTTAGGATTTCGCTAGAAAGGTATTGGAATGTATAAAACACTCTCATCTACTTCATCTCATTCCCCTAATTTGATATAGGATTTGGGTGAAAACCCCAAAATCTAAATTTTTTCATATTATGAGTGTTTTATTGCTAATTCTAGTAAGTTTTAGATTATAAATCATAAGTTTAATCTCCTATTATTCATTAATTTCTTAATATTTGAGTTATAATTATTTTTAAAAGATTCAAGAACTCATCAATGGAAAATTCTGAAATTTAAGCTTAAAACCATGGAACCAATGATGATTTAAAACAAAATCGAATCTAAGGAATCCATCAAATTATTGAATGTTACATTTATGGATTTGTTGGTGACTTTTCATGTAACACTCGGTTTCGGATTGCTTCATTATTCGGGGTTGTGGCCCAATCATCAGTTATCATGAGGCTTAGGGCCTTGGGGAAGAAAGGATTTAGCCCTTTTTGGATGTGGGTGCTACAGTTTAAGTGATTCGAGTGTTCGATGGCATTTCGGAGCCCAAGGGTATAATCGTAATTTGCTAGTTCGGGCCTTAATGAATTTTGGGTTATGGTTCGGGAAGTTTTAAGGAAATTGTGAGTTGTTAGAAGCATAGAGCTTCTCGTCACCTTTCCGTGGATATAAAGTTCGTTGGAAACGAACTTGGGACAAAGGAGTTATGGCCGAATGAAGTTTGAGTGGTTTGGAGGGCCATCTAGTACGCAGGGCGTACTAGATATGTACGTAGGGCAAACTGAGTAGAGTAGTCGCGGGTGGTCTTCGAGTACGCCGAGCATACCAAGGGGTACGAGGGGTATACTCCTTTCAGCCATGAAACCCTAAATTGTGACCCTTGACCCTATTTAAACCTCATTTCTTTCATGTGCCTCATCTTTTATCAACCTCTAAGCCTCCTAAACCCTATAAGTCGAACCTTAACCTATATATTGTATCTTTTAAGCCATGGTGAAGGATCTTGGAGTATTTTTGTGCACTTTGAAGATCTTGGAGCTTGTTGAAGAATCACCACCTAGAAAAGAGCTTCTAGATCCAGAAGTTTGCCATCTTTTGCAATCTATTGAAGGTAAAAAGCTTTGATCTTGCTCACTCTTTGGTTAGATCTTTTTATTGGGTTTGTTCATAGTCCTTTTAGCCTCTTTTGGTGGCCCTTGTGAGATATGGTTTTTTTAAAGGTTTGATCTTGTGGATCTGGACGTTTTAGGTGTCCCAAAGGCATAAAAATGTGATCTTTATGGTTTATTTGGACTCATGCATGTATTAAGACCTTTCATTTAGCTCTTTTGAGCTCTAGGGTCCCATTAAGCCATGTATGCAAGTAAAGTTGCCAACTTTACGTGATAAGTCATCCATAGGAAGCAGATCTGAGAATTTGAAGCAAAGAATTAAGTGGTTAAGTGCTTAATGGAGAAGGTTGGGGTTCAGGGGAGTACGTTGGGCGTACCCATCTGGTACGCTGCGCGTACTGGCCCCAAAGGGTGTACGATGGGCGTACCACCTGAGTAAGTGGGGTGTACTCGGCATGTTGGGCTTTTCTTGTTTTGTTGACTTGTTGTCCATGGAGCATTGACCAGAAGTTTGACCAGGTTTGACCATTGGTTATTTTGAGCCTTTTTGGATGTTGGGCCTCCTCGGGTTAGGCCTATAATGGGTTTGTGTAACACTCCAAATCAGGTAACCATTTTATTCCTTCAAGTGAGTTAGTTTTGCGAAAGTGACCCTTTTCTGGTATGCTGGGCGTACTTAAGTGTACGCTTAGCGTACTATGGAGGAAGGATCGCGAAGGAATATCGAGTACGCAGGGCGTACGTGAAGGTACGCCAGGATTACGCGATGGAGAGCCAAACCCTGATTTTCAAACTTGTCACCTATTTAAGCATCCTTAAGTCATTGGGACTAAACCCTAACCAACCTCTATAGCCTCATATCGTACCTTAATCTCATATTTCCTTTTGAGTGTGGTTCTTGAGCTTAGAAGGTGTGTTGGTAGCCATTTTAGAGAGCATTCAAGAAGGAGAAGGTGGTGTGCAATCTTTGGGTGCCATTGAGCTTCTAGATCCTGCATCTAGAACATCTTGAGGAACTTCTGGAGGTATAAAGTCATAACCTTGTTATCCTTTTCATTATATTGAGCTAGGGTTTGTTATGGAGTCCCTTTTTGGCTTTTGGACATTCTCTTGTGAGTTGAGCAACTCCAGAGACTAGAATAGATAGATCTGAACTCCTTGAGCTTGTTAGATGCATAAAGGTGACATCTTCATGATGGTTTGGACTCCATGAATAAGTTAGAAGTCTTAAATGATGTCTTAATGGGAAGTATGGACTATTGGAGTCATTCATGGCATGCAAGGGCATAAAGTTGCCAACTTTATGCCCTAGGACATCTTATTAAGCCCAGATCTGAAGTTGAACGTTGAGAACTAAAGTATTAAGCACTTAATGGTTGTTTAGTGCATAACCTGTTTGTACGCCGTGCGTAACAAGTTGTACGTTGCGCGTACAGGGGCATGGTCAGTACGATGAGCGTACTGGAGTGTTACGCAGGGCGTACACACTCCAGTTTGGTTTTGGGGCTTTTTATGGGCTTGTAGGTTAGTGGGCTTTAGCCAGTTTTGGGCCTGGTCACATTTTAGAGTTGTGGGCTAATATTCTGAATTGGGCCATGTGCCCCATTAATAGCTTTGGTCATGGACCTTAGGCCCATTAGCAAAGGGAAGACTATTGGGTCATTATGGAAGGACTTGGGCTTAGGTGTATGGACTCTTTAATTAGATTGTGTTTAATCCTAATTTAGGGTTAATTGTATTATTGTTCAGTGTGTGGTTTCAGACTGTTAGGCGAGCAACTTTCGTGTTCAGCAGACTGAGCTG